ACACACACACACACACACACACACACACACACACACACACACACACACACACACACACACACACACACTCACACACACACACTCACACACACACACACACACACACACACACACATATATATATATATATATATGCGTACAAATAAGTTACGCTTTCTTTTTACTCATGGACATGACATTCTCACAAACAAATCCATTTATATATCCAGCGAGCTCACCCACAAGACCGGGAGCGTAACTGATAGAAAATGTATGGCTATCGAGGACAATGTGCAGCGGTTGGCGACTATGTGCAGTCAGGCCATAGTGGTGCTGAAGTCAAACGAGACGGACGTGCACGGGGTCACTCCTACCGAGGGCACTCAGGTAAGTTTGTATGGTGGGAATCTATATCATTGGTCGTAGTATGTACCAGCTCTCACAGCGATTGGTGCCTATGTGGTGTCAGGCTATAGTAATGTTACTCAGGTAGGCTTGTAAGGTAGGAATCTTTATTTTTGGTCGTAGTATGTAGCAGTTCTCACGGCGGTTGGTGCCTATGTGGTGTCAGGCTATAGTAATAGTCTAGTCAAATGGGATGGACATGCACGAGTTCTCTACCACTGAATGCTCTCACGTAGGGTTTAAAGGGTTAAATGCGGCGAATCGAATCTCTATGTTTTGGTCACGGATTGGACCAGCATCCGTTGTGTTGCACACCTCACACCCGTGCTAAGCTGTGCGTGTAGACGGGCGATTCTCTCTAAAGGCAACGACAAGACAACACTCAACTTACCTGTCCAACACCGTCCACAGTTGGCAAAACATCGCCAACTCGTACTGTTGATACTCAGGACATACTTAGCGGATACCATGGCACGGTTTGAGGTGCTGCAGAGTGAGCGGGCCAAGGTCGTGCAAGAACGCGCCAGGCTGTCGTCGCACACGGTCAAGAGGACCAGCGGATTGACGGATGATAGTAAGTGCTTGTATGTGCATGTGGTTGTAGGCGACAGAGTGTGGTCACGGATGTGTGGGTGGGTGTGATTCCGTAGTTCGTGTATGTAGTTGAGTTGCGTGACCGGTGCATTCAGGGATGTGTGTAGTTGACGTAGGTCGCCGTTTCGTTCTGGTGCATGTGCGCATACGTTACGTTTACAATGGGCTGTTGCGGGTGTTGTTTGGGGTTGGATATTGAACCCTTATCTATCCACGTCGTGTTCCGTCCTTCAGGACACATCTGTATAGTGCGGTGGCGAGTAGCAAGTAATCGAATGCGCAATGGAAACCATACCGTACTATCAAACGTATATGTGCACGCGGGTACGTTTAAAATTACGTACCACTGTCTATATATCTACGCATGGCCATTATGGCATTGGGATTTTCGTGTTAATTTGTATCTTTGTTTTGTTTCGTATCTATTCGGTTACTTCTTTGGCACTGTCATCGAGCAGTGCGATTATGCATACGCATATCCGGAGTTTCTTTATATATGTAATATAGGGCTCCATATCACCCCAAGCCAGATTCCTAGTTCAGAAATGGAAATTTATACCCATATCATGTGTGAGTGTATGAATAGATTCAGCGCTTATGTATCGACCCGAGCGTTTCTCTCATGAATAACTCAGTCACTCACTCGTACCAACGCGGTATCGCTACCTATTTCGAAATGGCCGCCCTAAATTACTATTTCGTGAATTTCACATCAGGTCTAAATATCGAAGAGTTGTACGGCAACAGGGACGAAGGGCTTGAACTGAGTCTCACCGCAGCCGAAAAAGTGGTCATCGAAGCGGAAAACAAAACGTAAGTCGTATTCGCAATATTTATCGTCTCATTGTGAAGGTTACCTGTACGAAGTTGCACGCATAGAACACAACAGGTTGTGCGCGTTCAATGTCAGGTGTTGACTGTTACGAGTTAGAAGCTGCATTGCTAGAATAACTTGTGGCATCCAGTATAGCGTGCTGGCTGGTATGCGTCTCGGTTCGCGTATTGAGTGTATGATGTCGGATTCTTGAAGTCCAGACATAGTGTGAAGTACTTTTATTATACAGCGTCCGTGACAAAGTGTCCGGTATCGATTAATCAGCATTCCAGGCCCTTTGTTAGTACAGTATATTAGCTACGTATTGAGCAATGCATTTCTGTCGAAATTCATTGTCAAAATTTCTGTACTGAGCGATCTGTATATACACACACACACACACACACACACACACACACACACACACATATATATATATATATATATATATATATATAGTGTGTGTGTTATATATATATTATTATATATATATATATATATATATATATATATATATAGTTATATATATATATATATATATATTATATATATAATATATGTATTAGTCGTATAC